ACTCACTCACACACGCGCACACACAGACACACACACAGCAAGAGCTGCAACGTCAGTAACACATACACACACACACATACACTCACACAAACACACACACACTCACATATACACACGCACTCACACTCACACACACACACACACTCACATATACACAGACACACACTCACATAAGCAAACACTCACTCACACACAGACACACACACTCACGCACACACACATGTGTGAAGTGTTTGTAAGATGTTCGCCTGTGCATATACATATGAATAATGTGCATAATCATTATTAGTAAATAATATGATGTGTGTAGTTTATTTATATCATGTAGGTCTGAGGTTTGACCAGCAGATGGAGACATTTAGAATCTAAATAACACCAGACCACAACACACACACACACACACAGCGCTTTTCAAGAAGCAAGTCGTTCCAAAGCAGCTTTACAGAAAATGTAAGATTCTACATTATATTTAGTAATAGCTTATCAGTGGTGACTATCTCAAGTTGATGTCCATTATAGCAAAATTTGGTAGTTTTGTATGTTGTCTGAGGGGTTTGCATCATCTCTATGCGATAAATTATTTGAATGCTTGGCCAAAGAGATGTGTCTTTAATCTAGATTTAAACAGAGAGAGTGTGTCTGAAGAGGACCTAGGACAGATCCTTGTGGCACTCCATATTTTACTGGTGATAATTGAGATGACTCCCCATTTAAATGAACAATGTGGTAGCGATCGGACAGGTAGGATCTAAACCATCTTAAAGCCTGCCCTTGGATACCTGTATAGTTTTGTAATCGATCTATGAGTATGTCATGATCTATTGTGCAGCCTTGGTCTGATGCAAGAACACACAGAGTGAGCTGTTAATTAAGCCACAATGACACTGCTTTATGATTCACCAGAGTAAATGATAGTAAAGGTGTAATTATATTCTTAACACAATGTGGAAAAAGTACAGTTTGGAAAGAGCAGTGTTTGTTAAAGTCTGCGGTTCAGACAGTGAATCAGTGCTGAGGGGCGGATGGAGTTAGACTTCATTACCAATTAAAATTGTAGCTCTAGACAGTTACCTATGGCTATGATTTTATTAATACAGATGTCTGATTGATTTTATAGTCTCAAGCATTCAGAAAATACGCAAAAGAAAATTAAGCAGTTTTTCGATAAAACCATGGTTCATTTTTGTAAGGGTTGTGATGTCCACGTTTTTTTTGTTGAAGAAGTTATAGAGGCTGTGTCATCTGTAACAAAAAGGTTGCCAAAAATTAGATTAAGTGGATATTTGAATGAAATGTTTGGTCAACAGCCTATTAAACAAGGATTTGATCATCCTGTAAGTACAACAGCAGCAATTACCAGGCCTTTGGTGCCCTTTACAGGCATTTGTAATTACATGTAATGTACATAAATTGTTTATTTTGTTGGCTATCACGCAAAAGAAAATTAAGCAGTTTTTCGATAAAACCATGGTTCATTTTTGTAATGGTTGTGATGTCCACGTTTTTTTTGTTGAAGAAGTTATAGAGGCTGTGTCATCTGTAACAAAAAGGTTGCCAAAAATTAGATTAAGTGGATATTTGAATGAAATGTTTGGTCAACAGCCTATTAAACAAGGATTTGATCATCCTGTAAGTACAACAGCAGCAATTACCAGGCCTTTGGTGCCCTTTACAGGCATTTGTAATTACATGTAATGTACATAAATTGTTTATTTTGTTGGCTATTGCATTATGTATTTTAATGGTGTTATTCTATGAAACCATATAATTATTAATTAGCCTATCATTATTGCCTCATTGGTTTTATATAAGTCATTTTAAAGGCTGTTGTTAGCTTAGGTTTGTTTTTATAACCACAAAAATATTATCTTAATACTTCTTTGTAAATTATTATTTGAAGTAACAAAACCATGGTTAATTTGTGGTTACCATGGCTACAAGAACCATGATTTTTGGTTTTATTCATGGCTAATTTTCAGAAGGGAACATGGAAACTCAGAGAGAATATTAGATGCGTTGGTGGTGGTGAAATTATTATGACATTATTAACATCAACAGCCAAAAAGGTTTCACAGGATTATGAATGTACCTGAAATTGATGCACGGCTTCACTTTAACACTTCTTTTAACGGGTATAGTTGTCCATCAATTATGGTTATTTGCGTTCAGCCGCAAACATAAGGTGCGAGCTCATGCGGGAATGGCGCGTCACGTTTTTTTGGGGGTTTTTTGAGCAACTGGGATGGTGCCCCCCCTGGAGTTGGTGCCTTACGCAAACTGCGTACTCTGCGTATAGGGAGCAGCGGTACTGATAGTACCTTCACACATATGCCAGTCACCCATGCTCTTTGCTCTGCTGCACTCACATACCATGACAGACGTTTGCTGTTGCTTCTGTCGCTGATGAAAGTCTGGATGCTCCCTTTGGTCTTTGGGACTGAGAACTCGAAATCCATTTTTCGCATAAACAAGTGGAAATGTGGACTCATCTGAGTACAGCACACTTTCCGTTTTGACTATCTGAGATGAGCTCTGGCCCGGAGAACCCGGCGGCATCACTGCATAGAACTGATGTATAGCTTTCTCCTCGAGTAACAGAGATTCAAGTTGCATTTCTTGATGCAGCAACAGACTGTGGTTTTCTGAAGTACTCCTGAGCCCATGTGGCTATATTCAACACCGCAGCATGACGGTTTCTTATGCAATGCCATCTGAGGGGTCAAAGGTCAAGCACATTCACCTGAGGTTTCCTGCCTTGCCCTACATGTACTGTGATTTCTCTGGATTCCCTGAGTCTTTTCACAATATTATGTATGGTACTTGGTGAAAGACCTAAATTCTTTGCGATTTTGCATTGAGAAATGTGATTTTTGATTTGTTTGACACTCCTCTCGTGAAATTTGGCACAAAGTGATGAGCCGTGATCCAGCTTCGCTTACAAAGACTGAGATGCTCCTGTCATACCCAAACATGATATCTTGACCTGTTACCAATTCACCTGCTTACTCTGAACTGTTTCAAAACAGTTTAACGTGGATATTCTATAACCTTTTCACTTTTATTTTGCCTCTGTCCCAACTTTTTTGGAGTGTGTTGCAGCCGTCAAAAACAAAATGTGTTCATATTTACAAAATACATTTGCGTTGGTCAGTGAAAGCTTTGGAAATCTTTTCTTTTGTACTTTTGTCAATTAAATAATAGTTAAAGAGAATTAACAAATCACAGATTCTTGATTTTATTTCATTTTGCAAAACGTCCCAACTTCTCTGGAATTGGGGTTGTAATATGAATTTGGTTTTAAAATACTCATACTTGTTTGACTTTGAATATTTGACTATTTGATTTTCAGTAGGCCTATTTGAATTTGATTTGATTTTAAGTATGTGAATTCTGATTTTCAGGATTTTCATTTGAATATGTGCCTTGATCATTGGAATTTAAATATTTGAATTTAAGTGTTGGATTTTCAGTATTTTATTTAAATATTTGAATTTGATAATTTGATTTTCAGTATTTGAATGTGATCATTTGACTGCTTAAATTTGAATATTTTCGGTATTTGAATTAGATAATTTGACTTTATAAATTTGAATATTTGTATTTTAATAAAAAAATATTTGATATTTGAATTTTAGGGGGGAAATCTGAGACAATTTTTTACTTTAATCAAAAGAGATGGGTTTATTTTTATTTAATTTTTTAGTTCTATTGCTTTTTTTGTTTAATTTCTAATATTTCGAGAGGAAATACATGAACACAGGCAGGAAAGCCGCTTCTGAAAGCGTTTTGTGGCATTTTAAATGAAACGAGGTCAAGTGAAATAATAATAACCCTGTGTTTTTCTGCAGAGTCGGGAGGACGAGTCTCGCTGGGTGGAGGATCTGCTGAAGTTACACACGGCTCGAGTGCGAGACGTGGAGCTGCTCACGGGCCTGGACTTCTACCGCTCCGCCGCGCTGCCCTACACGCGTGTGCTGGCGCTCAAAACACGCATGCGCACCTTTGAGGACGACGTGTAACACTTACCGCACCCGACACTTCCACTGTATAGTTTTATACACTGTGTCATATTTATTATTCACCTTCAAGCTAATAATGAAACTGTCTCACAGCTCACAACAAACAACCGCAGTCCATGACACACCATGTTCACACCATGACACAATTACCGCAATTACCAGACTCACACAGAGAAATGCACTCACATCCTTGAAAAACTCGTAAACGGTTTTATTTGTACACTCACACTTGTGCAACGTCATGAAAAAAACATTTAAAATTGCAGCAGCTTGAGCAGTAGAACGTAGTTTTTTTGGGGGGGGTTTGTATAATGATTCCTATAATTGTCTATTGATAATGTCATAATGCAAGATTAATCTAAAAACTAAACCGAGGAACATACAATAGTTTAATATTAGTCGCTATACTACAGAGCCAAATAAACGATACATTTGATAATAATGCATTTGCAGAACGACTCTGTAACATTAAAGTTGCATTTGTTAATATTAGTAAACTACATTAGCTAATATGAACTAGCGCTGAAAAATACTTCCAAAGCATCTATTAATCTCATACTGCAAAATATGATTTTCTTCCTGCATATTGTTTTTGTTTTCCAATACAAATATCTTAACATTTATCAAATAAGATGCATTTTCAATGCATAAGATGCAAGTCTTAAACTCAAATTTTTAGTTTTAAGATTAAAAATTGTGATCGTTTCAATTGTGATTTCTTTAAAAAAACAAATGCAGGACTTAATATATTAAGTCTCCAGTAAATGTGTCTTGATTTAAGGATGTTTAGATATTTGGCCTGGAAAACAAGACAGAAACACAGAGGAAGAACGTCTTTTTTGCAGTGTAGTTATTATTAACTTTGACATTTCCGAATGCATTATAAAAATCATAAGTTTTATTGTTAATATTATTTAATGGAGCTGAGCTAACATGAACTAACAATGAACAGTTGTATTTTTATTAACTAACATAAACAAAGATTAAGAAATACTGTAAGAAAAATATTGCTCATTGTTAGTTAATATTTGTTAATGCATAAACAGTCATCAAATTATAGTTTATTGTGAAACGTTAGCAGTGTCTTTCAGTGGCAGTGTTTTATCTATTGATTACGCTTGTCTTTCCACAGAAAGCCATAATTGCGAGGATGTGATCTTTCCAGCTTGTTGTTTAGTGGTTGCGATAATTATGACGTGGGTGAACGCAGCGTAGACTAAACACTTAAGTGTGTGTGTCTGTGTGTGTGTGTTTAGCAGTTGTCCTGCTGGTTTCTTTGTTCACTCTGGATTTGTCTTTAGCGTGTGAAAAGTGTGAGAAAACACATGTGACTCATGACCTGAGCGAGTGATGCTCTGTCTTACTAATGAGTGTCGTTAATGATTTCGTTCCATCAATAAATTCCTGAACTGTCAATAAAACATGGTTTGTGTCACGTTGCTGTTCACATACGTGTGTGTGTGTGTGTGTGTGTGTGTGTGTGTGTGTAATGCAGGAAACACAGAGTGGGTTCAGGATGAGTGTGTCGACATGAGCACTGCCAAATGTCCCGCCAGGTAACACACACACATTTCTGACCCTGGAGCACAAAATCAGTCACAAGGGTCAATTTTTTATAACAAATAATCTTTCCATTGATGTATGGTTTGTTAGGATAGCACAATATTTGGCTGAGATACAACTATTTGAAAATCTGGAATCTGAGGGTGCAAAAAAATCTAAATATTGAGAAAATCATCTTTAAAGTTGTTCAAATGAAGTTCTTAGCAATGCATATTACTAATCAAACATTAAGTTTTGATATATTTACAGTAGGACATTTACTAAATATCTTCATGGAACATGATCTTTACTTAATATCCTAATGATTTTTGGCATAAAAGAGAAATCAATCATTTTGACCCATACAATGTATTGTTGGCTTTTGCTACAAATACTGTTTTTGTGCCCCAGGGTCACACTTATGATCATATGAGATCATATTACTGAGCAAAGACTGGAATATACAACATGACTTCAGCATGTGAAGTACAAATGAATCACTACACCACTGAATCAATCCTGTGTGAATCACTACACCACTGAATCATTCACGAGTGAATCACTACACCACTGAATCAATCCTGAGTGAATCACTACACCACTGAATCAATCCTGAGTGAATCACTACACCACTGAATCAATCCTGAGTGAATCACTACACCACTGAGTCAATCCTGAGTGAATCACTACACCACTGAGTCAATCCTGAGTGAATCACTACACCACTGAATCAATCACGAGTGAATCACTACACCACTGAATCAATCCCTTTAACAGAGGAGGGGTAGAGTTTTCAAAAACTGTCTTTAATAAAAAAGTGCAAGTAGTTACTCAATTAAAAGTGGTAATCTTAATAGTTACCACTAAGAGTAAAAATATCCTCAATGTTACTAGTTACAACGGATCTTCAGATTTGGTTTCAGTTGACTGTAGGTTCACTTCATAACGCTCTTTATGTTCACTGTGTTCTTCAGTTTTCTGTTATGAATGAGAAACAACTCCAGACGGTTCAAACTGATCCGCAAACCAATTCAGACCATTTTGCCAGCTTGTTTGATTAAGGCCTTGGAACAGAATCGATTCATTTGTGAATTGAGCATCACTCACGCCACACACAAAAGAGACAGCGCGCTTGGAATAAACTGTATTGCATTAAAATTAAGTAACGAGAGGAACGAAGTAAAAGTAAAGTTTCCGTTAGCAATGTACTCGAGTTAAAGTAAAAGTAGCCACCTTTAAATCTACTCTTAAAGTCAAGTAAATGTAGCGGAGTACATTATTACTGCCAAGGTTGGTACCAGTGACAACCGGTAAACACACACACACACACACACACGCATCTGAGACCCTGGTGTCCTGTGCTGACCTTTGACCTCTGACCTCGGGATCTGATGTGGCCATAAACAGGAGTTCGAGATAGATAGCCGGGTCAGTTTAGCTCACACACACATCACATGGTGTTATGGAGTGTGTGGTGCGTCAGATTCATTCCTGATAGTGTAAACAGAGTTCAGTGATCGTACTCGAGTTAAAGTAAAAGTAGCCACCTTTAAATGAAAAAAAAAAAAAACGAGTGACAACCGGTAAAAACACACACACACACACGCATCTGAGACCCTGGTGTCCTGTGCTGACCTTTGACCTCTGACCTCGGGATCTGATGTGGCCATAAACAGGAGTTCGAGATAGATAGCCGGGTCAGTTTAGCTCACACACACATCACATGGTGTTATGGAGTGTGTGGTGCGTCAGATTCATTCCTGATAGTGTAAACAGAGTTCAGTGATCAGGTGAGGAGTATCGTCTTTAACGCACTGCTTTTCATCTCAAGTAAATATCCTGCATTCGCTGGATAGTGGAGATAGCATCAGACGGTGTCTGTTTGAGTTTGAGCACTGTTTATTCATCTCTGACCACACACTGACTTTAGCTTGAGTCAGATTCATGTAGAAATCGTGTGGTTGTGTTTAATGTAGTTGATGTGTTTGTTTACGGCTTTAAACTCTGGAAAAGTGCTATAGAAATTAAATTGATTACTAATATTAATAGTAGTAGTATAACTAGTGTTTGTTTTATTTTTAGTATTAGTATTGTTAGTATTATTGTTATTATTCATATTATTAAGAGTATTGTTTTTTAGTATTAATCTTATTATTAGTATTATTAGTGGTAATAGTATCAATTATAGTATTAGTATTATTACTAGTAGTACTCATTGTATTGTTCATATTAGTAGTAGTAGTATCACAATAAAAGTAATATCAATTTTATTTTTAGTATTATTATTTATATTAATATTACTAGTATTATTAGTATTAATAGTATTAATCTTAGTTTTATTATTATTTTTTGTATTAGTATTATTACTAGTATTATTCGTAGCATAGTTTTAATTTTAATATTGGTTTTATTATTAGTATTCCTATTAGTGTTAGTATCAACTTTATTTTTAGTACTGTTATTTGCAATGGTGTTATTAGTAGTATTATTAGTATTACTGTTATAATTTGTATTAGTATTAGTTTTATTATTGCTGTTATTAATATTAATTATTGTTTTATTATTAATAGTAGTTGGAATGGGTTATATCTACCTGATTTCAAACATTGGATTTAGTTTATCAGCTCACAGAACAAACTCAAACATGACTTAACATGTGACCGGATCATATATCGTGTGTGTGTGTGTGTGTGTGTGTGTGTGTGTGTGTGTGTGTGTGTGTGTGTGTGTAACACTGTGATATAACAAATGTCTAACTGAACTGAAAGATTGAAATACGATGAACATTATTTCATTAAGGTATATAGCTGAAGATATTAAAGTCATTAAGATGTATGTTATTGTCTTGGAAATATTGTTAGTAAAAAAGGTTTTAGTCCATTTCCATAATGATAGGATTCACTTAGACATTTGCTTTAAACACATTGTTCCTGACAGCTTAAAGAACAAGTAACTGTTCATCAATATTACTTGTGTGTGTGTGCGTGCGTTTGTGTGGGTGTGTGTTTGTGTGGGTGTGTGTGTGTGCGTGCGTGCTTGTGTGTGTGTGGGTGTGTGTGTGTGCGTGCGTGCGTGTGTGTGTGTGTGTGTGTGTGTGTGTGTGTGTGTGTGTGTGTGTGTGCGTGCGTGCTTGTGTGTGTGTGTGTGTGTGCGTGCGTGCGTGCGTGCTTGTGTGTGTGTGCGTGCGTTTGTGTGGGTGTTAAAGTAAAGTTAAAAGCAGATAAAGTTCAGCAGAAATTCTTTGACATTCTCTGTAGGTCACCTGCTAAACAGCTGACCTTACCGGACTGTGTGTGGGTGTTTGCAAACTCATTTTAACGTGCATTTGAAAAGTGCAATATTTACCAGTTATCTTCCCCCAATCACTTATAAATCTGTTGTCAACAAAATGCTACAAATGATTTTAAATCAATGCTGTTCTTTTGAACTTTCTATTCATCTGTGAAGCATGAAAAATAAAATGCATCACAGTTTCCACAGAAATATCGTGCAGCACGACTGTTTTCAGCATTGATAATAATCAGAAATGTTTCTCGAGCAGCAGATCAGCATATTATACTGATTTCTGAAGATCATGTGACACTGAAGACTGGAGGAATGATGCTGAAAATACAGCTGCGCATCACAGAAATACATTACAGTTTAACAGAGATTCACATAGAAAACAGCTGTTTTACATTCTAATAATATTTCAGTTGTTACTGTATTTTTGATTTTTGAATGGCAGAGTATAGAGTGTCTAGAGTGAGTTTTTTGACTATCTTAATGCAAAAATGTACTTATGTTTTAAAGCTGATATTTTTGCATCCCTGTTGTATGTGCAGTGTGTGTGTGTGTGTGTGTGTGTGTGTGTGTTTTCAGAGTGGAAGTGACATCAGTGCGTGTCTGAATCTCTGAAGTTGAGTGTGTTCCTGATAAGTGTTGAGTTCCTGAAACACACACACACACATCTGTTGTCATGACAGCAAGTTTCGTTCATTCACATCACACATGTGTTGTGTGCAGAAGTTCAGAAATAGTTTCCTCTATTTTTGCTGCATGACATGTGCCAAACTCGAACCCCCGATAAACCTCTTTATCAACAGTCTTTTGTGATATAGATTTCTGTGGAAGTCCACATGCTGCAGTGAACTGCTGACTGTTATTACAGGCATTCCTGTAGATGAAAAATAGATCATCTGGTTGCAACACCCAAATCATGGGTGTGATTCCCGGGGAAAATGTGCAATGCAAGTCGCTTTGAATGAAAGCCTCTGCCAAGTGCTTCAATGTAAACCATCTGGTCAGTGAGACCGGCTTATTGACATTTACACTGATTAGCACATCATTTCAGTTCCCTGGGAAGCAACCCCATGACTTCGGTGTTTCTCCTCTGATCACCTGCTGATTGTCCT